ACAGTTTTTTCATCGCTCTATAACATAACGCTTTACGACAGGTTCTCTTAAACCGAAGAATCCATCCGGTATACACCAGGCTTTCAAAGACTTTCATTGAGTCATACACCAAAATTATTCTTCACTATGAGCTCATAAAAATAAGAATCGGCCGAGGCGTGACGCAGGGCGGCATTTTTCACTCGTCTTTACCAACGCAGCTAAAAAAGTTTTGCGAAAAATTGAAACAGTAGAAAGATTTTATGACGGTGTGAAGTGTGGGGCAGCAAGTTATGGACATTTTTACAACTCTAGCGTAGCACTGTATGTAAGGGCGGTTCCATTGTTTTACCAATTTTCATGCATGGAGCTGAAACATGGGGGTTTAGTAGTATTCCAGCGAGCTGTAGAACAACGTTTGGCTTGGATCAGTGAGTTGTGAAATGTTTCCAAGGTCCTAAAAACTCCTGAGTGAAACTCCTAAAAAATATTATCAAAGCTGTGTACTGCAGGAATGTACCCATAGCTCCATTTCAAGGTGGTTCTTTCCCACCACGCTGACAATCTTCTTATTGTCCATCTGATACTGCATCGGTATCGTCCAGTAGTTCGCCATTTCCTTCTGTTGTCACTCATTTTCTCTTCATGACCAGTCCGGTTTTCTCTGTACTGTACACTGCCATAACGAGCACTGTTTGCGTCATTCCGGAGCTTCAGAATATCCTTGAAAACTTGCTACAAAACAAATTCGCCATGCGTTGTTCATTGGCTGCAACGGCTTCGTTCGTATTTCGCTGCAGCTGTAGTATTCCATTCTTCGTTTCCGATAAAACTGGTAATGAAGTTGCTAATAAGTGATAGGAACCGCCGAGTGGCTTTATCACTGGTGGTCGATCGTAACTGAACTTGGGCAGAATTCGTACACTACATTTAATGCTGTGATCATCTTTTGTCGTTTCGTCATTAAACATCACTGAGCTAGTGACGGTGTTAGCATCCCACGCTTGCTGTAACCGATGCTGCACTGCTCGATGGTTATGCAGCAGGCATCGTAGGTTCATTTCTTTGTTTACCGTTCTGCTTTCGAAAGTGAGCTGAGCTGGTAAGGAGTTTGCTCAGAGTCAGTCGTCTGATTTCCTTTTTCTTGGCTTCTCGATAAAATGAAAACATTTTTTTTTTTTCAGAAGATGGAGGTAGAGGGACCGAGCGAAATGTAATTCACAAAGCAGCTGGTAGAAGCACAGGTAATTCGACTGAAAATGGAAGGACGAACAGTGCCGGCGAGGGAGCAGTTGGGAATACAGCCATTTAACAACCGTTAATTCCATCATATGCCTTATTATTCTTTTTTTTTTTGATTCCCTTTTTATTTGATATGTTATTTGTTCGCTACTTTGTTGCAGTTGTCTTTTCATTGATATCTTCTCTGTCATTCATTATCAAAGTTCCTTCATTGCTGCTCCAGCTGCTTTTCCAAAACGCGCTCTCGAGTCGAGATCGGCCAAGTAAATTTGTTCTTTTCGCAAAGTATCTTCATTTCTAGAACTGGTGCTTTCTTTAAGACTTAGTTCTGCTGCCAGCTAATGCATGTGTTCGGCTCTACTTGACTGTGCTTTGCTTTATATCACCATGTTCGCTCATTCTTCTGTATCTTTCTAATTAGCCTACAGAACTGTGTGGTCCTCCCACCATCTGGCGGCTTTTCCGCGAATGTACTGGATTAGATCTAGTAATCGAACGACCAAGAGAAAATTGACTCTGACTCATCTTGCAACTCCTGTTATTTAGGGTGGACTGTAGATGCAAATCCGTCGCTTATTGAGCTGTGGGTTTTGGTTACAACGGATTTTTCTTTGGAATTGAGAAATTGCAACAAAAGCGGCTCACGGAAACTCTGAAAGTAGTTTCTAGATGGTTGTTTAAAATAACAAATTGGCTGGAATTGCACCTTTTCTTTGAGTGTATGGATTTCAGGTAGACAATGCTTCGGCAGTAATGTTTGGTTTTTCATTTTTTTGACTAGTTTTCCAGTTCTTACCAAGGGTCTGCTTTAATGATATCAAAGACGCGCCTGTCACTTTTGGGTTCTGAAAGGAAAAGGGGAAAAGCGGGAGCGGGGAGGGGGCGAAGAGAATCGACAAAATATTTGGGGTTTTTGGCAACATTTTTTTGAAAACTACAAAGAGCTACGTATGGTTCTAGTGCCGCCTCCAATGCAATCGTGTCTTTCGATTTCTTTCAGCTTCCAAATTTCTGTGATGTTGGGATTAAAATATGCAGTTAGACACATGAATGGGCGTAATGCCCTTCCCATATTTTACTTTGATCATCTATTGCCGTCGTCATATTCATTCCCGCTGTCGATGCAGCTAACAGATTCTTTACGAACATTTGTTTTGACTTCGCCTCGTCCAGGCTACCGGACCTTCCCATCTAACTGATGGCTTTCAGCTATGTTCATTTAGCATTATGCAGCTACTCCTTCAGCAGTCAGTCTGCGCCATCTGTTGTCTCTCATTTTGACGTATTTTTATTATGGAAAGTCACCAAAGTCATCCACCGCTAACTGTCTTTTCTGCAGCATTGAGGCTAATTCGGAGTGCTTTTCATGTTATTCGTTTAGTGTGCTAGTGTATTTGGGGAATTTCAGAACCCACAAGCGGTTATTAAGCGTGGACCGCTTTGCTGCTCTGTATGTGATGTGCAACTGTCTTCTTGCCTCAGTGCGTTTTTGTCATTTGAGAACATATTGCTCGTCGTCTGCATTTTATTACACTGCTCTTTGTATGAAAGGTGTCCAGTTTGTATTCCTTTCTGTAATTTTAATGCGCTCGTACGGAGTTGTTCGGTCACCGAGGAGTGCGTGGTTTTGCAAATGCATTTTCCTGCGTTCACTTCAAAGAATCAAATATAAGGAAGGGTGGCTTGTTTCACCTAGCTGGTTGTCTTGTAGGATTGGGCGTAACTGGAGTGCAGAATGTTATTATTTATTTTGGATATGTTAGGCACATTCCAGTTTATAATGCGCCAGTTTCGAATTGATTTGTGAATGTGCTTGTAACTCTTGGCATCCTAATGGATGAAAGGTTTGTGCCTTAATCTTGGTGTTCTCATTTTAGAGACCGTTGCGGTGGCGTTGTATAATATCTGTATGGACGAATATAGATGTACATATTGCCTTAGAGCTCCTTCATGTTCTATTGGCATTTCGGTAATCCTCTTGCAGATAAAGGCTTGATATCCACTCTCTCAGGAAATTGATTGTTTATGAACATTTGATAACTTTTCACACGCACGCGCACGCATGTCAGTGACGTCTCATGTTGTTCTTTCGAAGTGTGTATGAAAGGTTTCATATGCATTTATTGGTAGCTGTA